AGGGATTGAGCCCCAGCCCCTGTGCCTAAGACACACACATTTTTAAAATTGTATGTTTGTCAAGCAAAGTACAAGTGAGTGGCATAGAGTGTGAAATATCATGGACATCTATTACTATCCCTTTATTTGGGGACACTTTTCTCCCCTTCTTCTCAGTCCTAGTGAAATTGTCAATTTTCCTGGCCATGCCCTCCATCCTGGAGATGGGCCTGTGTCCAAAAGCTGGTCCAAATATTCCCTGGGATTTTAGAACTAGAACTAGTACAGCAACATGTGGAAGGAAGCAGAGCCGAGAGATAAAGTTGTCATCATTTGAACTCCTGGATCCAGCCATACCTGAAGGCAGCTACAACCTTTGATTTGTCTGGTCTGTAGGCCAGTTGACATCATACTGGCTTAAACATGTTTGAATTGGGGTGTTGCCACTGGTGAATGAAAGGTCAAGACTAACATACACATAGAGAGAGATACAAACAGCACTTTGTTTGAACTCACACATTATAATACAACTTCCATAATCTTACCAGGGGTCGGCACACCTTTTGCCTAGGGACAAGACAAATATTCTAGGTTTTGTGGGCACACAGGACCTCTGTCTCATTTTATTTTTGTTTTGTTTTGATAATCCTTAAAACTGTTAAAACTACTCTTTGTCGATGTAGTACATTATTAACTGGTGGTGAACTTGTTACACCCAGCTGAACTGAACTAGTGTGGTGCTGGGTGTGGGAGCCCCACCTGGGGATTGTTGCTGGCAGCCTAAGAGGCAGAACTGGAGAAGCTGTGGAGAGGCTGTTGGGGAAGCTGTGTGGAGAAGCAGCTGGGGCTGTTGGAAGCTGCTGGTTCTCTTCGGGCGTTCTGCTGGAGGACCTTGTCGTGCTGGCTTTCCCAATGAACTTGGCTGTTCTCATTGGAGGAGGAGCTTGGGACATCTCTGCCACTGAGAATGGCAGTGTTTCACTTTCAGGGGGCTGGGTCCTCATCTTGAGCATCGCTTCCTCACTCTGGAGGGGAAGATGGAGCACTGCTCAGTCTCTGGAGAAGCTTGTCGTGTTGGCTTTCCTGATGGGAGCTCAGCTTTCCTCATCACCGGATGAGCTCAGGACCTCACTGTTGCTGAGCATGGCTGTGGTACTTCTGGGGGAGCTCTGGCGCTCACCTTGAGCGTTGCTTCCTGGCTCCAGTTCAGCTCCCTCAGCCTGCTGGCACGGATCCTTCATCTCGCTGGCATAGACTTTCTAGCTTCCACCGCTGACTTTTGGGCCTTCCCAGCACAGATCCATGAAACAGACCCACCTGAGACATTGTCACGAGCTCTGAGGTCTTCAGCTGGACTCATGCAGGCTATTAGGATCCAGGGCCTCAGGAGGATTCTTTGGTCTTTAGTGTATGGACAGATTTCCTGCACCCTTTGTGTGTGATTCTTTGAGTGATTATAAAATAACCTTATAAAATGTATCCTGTTTTATTGTTCCCCTTGCAAAACCCAAAAACCATGATAGTAGGTCATATAAAAATACCCCGCCCCCCCAAAAAAAAAACCAAACAGGGCTGGGGATGTAGTGTGGCAGCATAAAGGCCTGCCTGGCAAGTGCAAGGTCCCAAGTTCGATCTCCAGTACCTCATGCTATGCCGACCCCACTCCATGCTGGTGCCCAAAATGGGCATGGTGGCACTTCCATACCCTGCTTGGGATAAGCGCTGGGGAGGCTGAGACAGGAGGATCACTATGAGTCTGAACTGCATAGTGAGACCCTGTATCAAAAAATAAAATAAGCCCCAGACTATATTTTGCCAACCCCTGATGTGGATCATCCCAGACTCTGCAGCTTTGGTGTCATCCACTGACTCTCTAGCTTATCCCAAAGTATGTAGCAAAATACTTTAAGGCCATGGGTGGTACACACCCTGGTAACCCCAGGACTCAGGAGGCTGACCAGGAGGATCACCACAAGTTCCAGGCCAGCCTGGGCTACACGGTGGGTTCAAGGCCAGCTAGGACCACATAGCAAAACCCTGTCTAAAACAAAGCAAACAAAAAAACCCTTTAAATGCCATTTTCCTTTGAGTGTCTTGATGGGACTCAGTAACAAGGTTTAGGATAGAGATGGGATTGGGAACAGCATCTTGTCCTACATCCTCTCTCCGTACCATGACAGACACTGAAATAAATGGTAATCATTAATCTTGTCAACAGTGATAAATTTTCAAAAATATGCCGTTGTCCAAAGGCTTTGCCCAAATGTCCTAGCACATCCTTGCCGGCTTTGCCCCCTCAGCCTCCTTCAGATGTCTGTCTTGATGTCTCATGAGTATGCCGTAGCTAGGTGCTCTTCTCGCCAGCGTAGGCCTTTGCAACGCTCCACTGCAACGGTCTATGGTCTCTCTATCCCCGGAATGCCGATGCTCACGTGTGCCTGTGCCCGCGCCCCACCACCTCGCAGTGCTGGCCCCTACGCTGCAGACTCTGTCCTTCTGTGTGGTGTCTGTCTGCGTGAGCAGGTGCTCTGCCCTTCTGTGTCTGTGTCTCCCAACTGGGTTGGTGTGCGCTGGTTTCCCTCTCAGCTGGAAATCGTCTGCAGACACACCGCACCTTATCTGGTAGTCTCCTTGTCTTATCTAGTCTTCATCCCCAGGCCTTCCAAAAACGAGCCAAAGACAGAGGAGCAGGTGGGAACAAGTTTTCTTAGAAACTGTTACGAAGGAAGATCCTTCCCACCCCAGCCCCACAACCTTGGCTGGCTGAGTAACGTCAGATCAGAGGTCTCCAGCCCCAGCAATATTTTGCTCCAGCACATCTGGAGCCGGGACTAGGTGGATCCATGTCTGTGGGGCAGAGGGAAACGATCACCCCCAGGCCCCGGGGTAAAGCATGTGCAAAGCCCTGCGGGCCTGAGGAGGGCTGGGCAGGGCGAGGTGCGTCACGGTGTTCTGGGCTGCAGCGTGGCCCATCTCACAGAAGCAGGCAGGAAGCACCACCACGGATCAGTTTTATATGGCACCCACTGTATACAACAGACAGACAGAGACGGACAGACGGCGCACACAGCACTTCTAAGCCAAGCATTGCTCACCGTCTAGAACCACCGTGGGGAAGCACAGAGGAGACACTCTTGCATAGGAAACATGTACCTCGAAAGGGAATGAAGAAGGATTTTGGCAAAACATCTACTTCCTGCCCGGGTCCTGGGTAAAGAGGGACCTCTACTGCTGAAGCTTCTACATAGTGAAAATGATCCCCTCCTCAATGGCAGTATATACAGTCTCGAACCTCCCTACCTGTGCTCACTGCTTTCTATGCACACCTCAAAACTACTTTACAGGTAGACAGACTTAGACTAAGAGACAGAACATGGCCTGGAGCAAGAGGAAATGGGGGCTGGCTCAAGGGGAGGGGACACAGGAGGTGTCCCAGCTCAGCCAAGGGCAAGGCCTCTGTCTGTCCAGACCAGAAAGAAAAGTCTCAGGTGGCCCAATCCCTCTCTCCCTCTCTCTCGTCCTTGTTGGGGCAGCAGTGGTTCCACAGGAAGGCCATCGAGGACAGGAAGGTCCCCCTCCTGCTGACTAGGGGACTTCTCAGGCTGGCGATGGCCATGCAGGCCTGAACTCCTCACAGTGCCTCTTGGGGCTGCTGTCTGAGTTGGGGCAGTGGATTGTGGGGTCACTGCTTGCTTCCGTACCCTGCTTGTGCCCTGAAGATGAGCCTAGGCCTCAAGTCCTTTCTGGGTTGAAAAGGAGCCAGGGCTGGTTCAGGAGGGATGAGACACAGAACAATCTTTCCACAGGCCCCTCTGCCTGGGCTCGGCTAGCAAGGGTCCCTTCACCCTGTCTCCTAGGGATAGTTAAAGGCAGCTTTTATTAGACTCTATACTTTTTTGTTTCTCTTGTGTGGTTTTTTTTTTTTTGTTGTTGTTTCTTTAATTTATATATAGATATAGATATAGATATATATTCTTAAAAAAGCAATAGTCCTTTGGTCCCTAAACTCTAAGGAATGATATGATTTTGAAAGAAGTAAATCTGGGCTCCCCTGGCGGGGAAGCCCTTGGCACCCCCAGGCCGTCGGCCCTCCCCTAGACAGTCAGTGCTTGGTGCCTGGCTGCTCGGCTGCAGGCCAGTTGCAGAACAACCCACTTGATCAGAAACGGTGTCCAGGGGCCTGAGCCCCAGGCGCGGGCCTTGGGTCTGATCCGCCTCTGTCCATCCGCAACTGCTCCCTTAGGAAGGGCCACTCCGACATTTATGTGCTTTTCCTTTGCGTTCTTCTCGCTCTTCAGTGTCTGCCCTTGGGTGAAAGTCAAAAGTCACCCCTGAGGGCCAGGCCAAGGCAGCCTGCACTCTTGGGGCCACACCAGCGAGCAGCTGATTCTCTCTTCCTGGGAACCGCCCCCTGCACCAAAGCCAGACCTGAGTCCCTGGCCGCAGCTCATGTCCAGAGGAGCCAAAACGCCCTGGAGAGACAGCACATTGCTGAGGTCTGCAAGGGGCCTCCTGCAGACCCATGGCCCTGTAGAAACCTAGAAGGTGGCCGCCCTCTGCTCCTGGCCCACCAGGCCCTGCAGGTCCCTCATGGGTAGCATGCTCTGTGCCCTCATCTGCATGTTCATTGCCGTCATCACAGGACTTACATCTCGTCTCTTATTGCTCAGACCCCACCTGCAGTATGAAGTTGAATGCGTGACCTGAAAGCCCCTCCCAGGTTGGCCCACGCCTCATTCCTCTGGCCCCTCCATACATGCAGGCTCTCTCCCTGTTCCTCTCTGGAGTAGGACCAGCTAAATGTTGCCAAACTCGCTTTTCTCAGATTACAGAGACCAGCAGAGTGCTATGTGATGGATCTCAGGCCTCCGGACGAAGCACAGCCCTGTCCAGGGTTTCCTCCTAGCTCCTGGCTCTTCTCTTTGTCCCGGTCTTCCTCAGAGGTGGGTGCCTCTGATCTCCCCAAAGGCACATCAAGTGAGGAGAGCATCCGAGGGGACTCACCTCTCAGCGAGAGCAGGTCAGTAAGGCCGGTTGGCATCCTTAGGCCTCTTTAGCTGGACCTTGAGCCTCTTCATGCCAATTTGAAAGCCATTCATGGCCTGAATAGCAGTCTGGGCACTGGTTGGATTGTCAAAACTAACAAACCCTGGGAGATGGGTATGGCACAGAGGTTAGCAGAGAGCCCTGCCTGGCAGGCCTGCCTTTCTCTAGTCCACTCATCTCCCAGCCCCTCAACTCCCTGGCCCATTGTTCATGTGTGGGCAGAGAGATGGGCACACACTCATAAGGGCAAACTGCCTGAGATTCCCAAAGTTGTGATTCTTGGAAGGACAAGAAGTGACTGTGTGGGGAGGGGATGGCATTTGGGTGGGATTTCTCCCATCTGTTCCTGGCCCCAGTTGGCTGTCTCTCTCCACTATTCCCTCTGGTCCTTAGACCTTCAGTTGGGGCTTCAGGGATCTCAGGTCCCAGCCCAGGAAGCACCTGCTTTGGCCAAACTCAAAAGCCCTCACCTGCTCTGCTTGAACACCTAGAATACCCGAGCTTCCCAGAGGAACATGAAATAAGGCTTCTTCTAAGTCTAGGCATGTCCCTGGGCTAAAATGTGCCCCCACTATGTGTTGTACATTCAGCCTCCAGAAATCATGGCTGTGGGTAGGGTCTGGGGGGCAGCTTCCACCTGGCTAGGATGGGGAGAGCCCCAGGGCTGGGGCTCCGCTCACCGAAACACTTGCTCTGGTTGGTGGCGCGATCCACAAAGACTTTGGCAGAGACGACAGCTCCAAAAGGCAGGAAGGTCTGTATGAGTTCTGCATCCCCAAACTCCTGAGGCAGGTGATAGATGAAGAGGTTACAGCCTTCGGGGCCTACAGGGACAGGAGCAGGCTGGTTTAGGGGAGGCCCTGGTCCAGCCCCACCTGCCCTGACTCCGCAGCCCCAAGTTCCTCACCTTCTCTTTGCTGCTGGGGCAGGGTTGAAGATTGCTGGGGAAAAGTTGTGCTCACTGGGGCATAGGCTGATGGATAGGCTGCTGGAGACAGAGTCAGGAGTGGGCACTGACCCCATAGCCAACCCAAGTAGGGCCCCATCTCCCTCATCACCAGCTCAACCCAGTCTACCCTAACCCTCACCCCAAGAGAAGTTGTTGGGGGCTGGGCATGAGCAGGATGAGAAGGTCAAGTCCTGGGAAGACAGCCTAGGCCCCCCACGATCTCCTTGTTCCTTTCTGGGGCCCGTCACCCCCCAGGCCCGCGCAGTGCCCAGTGAAACCTGCGTAGTGGTGCATCCCAGCGTAGGCCTGCTGCAGGGGGTCAGCCACGCCAGGGCTCTGGGCTGGGGAGAGAGGAGCCAGGCCCATGGTGAAGGCAGGTGGGCAGGGCCCAGTGAGAGATGTGGGGAGAGTAGAGAGTGGAGGAGAAGGAGTGGAATCCTTTCCCCAGAAGCAGGGCCCTGCCCTCCATCCCCTGCTCCCTACTCCACTTCAGTGGCCCACCTGGGTAGGGAGAGAGCCCGTTATTGTACAGCGTGTCGGAGCCCGGCTGCCCGTTGGTCTGGGCGGTCAGGGGACTGAATCCATTGACCCCGATGGGTCCGGGGAGACCAGGGAGGGTGCCTGGGCCACCTCCAGGTGGGGAGTTGGCTGTTGATGGTGGAACAGGAGGCTGGGTTAGGTTGTAGAACACCTGGTCCTCCCAGCTGCAGCCCAATCCCAGGGGCCCCTACCTGCTGCTGGCAACAGAGGGGCAGCCACCAGGCTGAAGGCTGCGACGTGCTGCATCTGGGCTGCCACAGCTGCCACTGGGCCAAGGCCTGGACCCTGGGCCGCTGCCAGCAGGGCTGCCTGGTGCTGCAGGATCTTCGGGAAGAAAAAGGGGTATTCACGGGAGTCTCTGCAGGGGCACCCCCAACCCAGATGACCAGCCCAGCCATCTGTCCCAGGACCAGGCACCTACCGCGGTGGTGTAGGCTCCGCAGGCCCCGAGGGGCAGCGGTGCAGGGTGCAGGGCACCCAGCTGGCCGGCCATCTGCTGCATGCGCCGCAGTGCACGCTCCCGGTCGGTGTCCGCTAGCTTCACTACCAAGCTGGACGAGGCCCCCTGATCAGCAGGTAGGGAAGCCACAGTCCTGACCCATCCAGCTGTGACCTGGGTCCCCACGCACCTCCACAGGGAGAGCAGTCCATCCCGCCTCACCGCGCCCGAGCCTCACCGCCATGGTCCGGCTCCCGTGCAGACCCTGGATGGCCGCCTGGGCTTCTCCTTGGCTCCCGAACTTCACAAAGGCACAGCCTGGGCAGGGGGCAGGGATCAGGTAGCTCAGGTCACAGAGGCCAAAAGGACACATGGAGAGAAAGAGCCACCAGGAAACCCCAGGGGCCAGCTCGGGTCACCTTTACTGGTGCCATCCGGGCTCCGGAGGACTGTGCACTCCTCGATGTGGCCGAAGGGCTGGAACAGGCGCCTGACATCCTCCTCGCCCTGCTGCTTGCCCAGCATTCCCACAAACAGCTTCCGGTCCTCTGGGGACAAAGCCAGGGATAATGACCTGAGGCCTTCTGGCCCTCCTAAGCTCCTCAGGGGAGCATGGAAGGTAGCTCAGAACTCTAGCTCTGGAAAGAGGGGCAGGGAGAAAGAACTGAGAAGGCCCTGGGCCACCAAGGGTCCCTTAGGAACAAGGTGATTTCCAGGGGGATCAGCTCAGATTCCCATCAGGAAAACCCTGGGGCCAGGGAGATGACTCAGTGGAATAAGCACTTCCCTGGCAAGCGCAAGGGCCTGAGTTCAATCCCCGATTCAGCAAAAGAAAGAAAGAAAGAAAGAAAGAAAGAAAGAAAGAAAGAAAGAAAGAAAGAAAACCCTGGGCCCGCAGAAACTAGAAACACTCATTGCTGCTCCTGTGGGGAGTGGCTGCGACCGTTGTGAGATTTCAGAGTGAGTAGGGCCTCTTTATGCGTTATTTTCTTTTTCTTTTTTCTTTTTCCTTTTTGGTACTAGGGATGGAACCCAGGTCTCATGCTTGCCAAGCAGGCTGTCCTCCCCTGAACTATTTCCTCAACTCTGTCTGCGGCATTTTATACATTTGACTTTGCTGTTAGAGTTTGGGAAATGGCGTTTCCCAAAAGACCACTTGGGTTGTATTGAAGCGGGGGCTCCTCAGAGGCCTCTGTATTCACATCACACCCAGAGAAGAGAACTTCTGCCAGTTACCCTGGTTAGTGCACTAGTTCTGCTAGTTAGCCTGGTGGCAAGGGCTGGAGCCAAGCTCAAATCAAGGATTCTTGGTAAAGCACCATACAGAAAACAGCTGTCTTCTCCCATCGCCTCAACCCAGACACTAAACCCTGGGATGAAGAATCTCAATCCAAGCCAGTACCTTGCCAAGGCTACAGAAGTTTGGGTTTCTGCACCTTCAACATTAGCATCTTCCTTTCGATTTGATTTGAAACTGTCTCATTGCTATATGTTTATCAATAAAACTTTGAAAAGAAAAAAAAAACAACAAAAAAAACATTAGCATCTTCCACACCACACTTGCTGAGCCCATGGCCGTGTCCTCACTGCTCCACGGCTACTTCCCCCTGCCAACTTCCTTCTCTCTGACTTCCTTTGTCCTCCACCCAATTCTTCCCCAAGGATTCATGGGATGGAAAACAAATCCTGCCCATGGACCTGGATGACCACGTGAAAAAAAAAAATGTCTGATGCCTCAGTGTGTCTGTGCTTTCCAGGAGAGGGCAGAGGTGCTGGAGAAGAACTGCGAGTGAGCCCGTGGCCCCTGCACATACCCTGGAGGGCAGGGGCCAGGCACCAGGCATGAGCTGCACAGCTGGTACTCACAGGAGCCTGAGCGAGAGATGCACTCGGCCTGATGTTCAAGTCTGGCTCTACTCTGCGCCAAGGTAAGTCTGGATTCCTGCCCTATGTGGGACAGTATTCACGGGGAGCGATGGGGTGCATGGGAACCTGGCTTCGGGCATCACTGTCAAGATCCTAGAACTCAGGCTGAAGTCCGGTTGACAGTGAAGTAGAAGAATGGACCAAGTGAAGTTAATAATTTCCTCTAGGTCAAACTCTACCAGTTTGGTTAAAAAAGATGCTATACTTAGCAAAGCACAGGGACGGCGGTTCAATCCCCCAGCACCACATGCCAGCCAGCCCCGCCCCCTGGTGGGCTGAGCTGGCCCCACACACACACACACACACACACACACAAATAAATATATTTTAAAAAAACAGATGCTATAAAAGATAAGCAGAAAGTGTCTGCGTAAGAACACTCCATGGCGTGGTGGCGGTGGTGAGGAAGGAGGTGCTTGGTCCCTAGAAAGGTGGCAGTATCATCATGGAAACTCAGTGCAAGCAGCTGAGAGGTGGCATCAGCGCACAGCTGAGACACAGCTGGACAGCTGCGCAGTGAGTTCAAGGCCGGTCTGAACTATATAGTGAGAGCCTGTCTCAGAAACCAAGCCAAACCCAAACAAAATGAAAACCAAATAAACAACAAAAACTTCAAGTTTACCTTCAAGATTTTTTTTTTAAGATTAATTGTTAAACACCAAATAAAGTAGAAACCTAGAGGAAATTTGGAAAAGATGATTAGATAGTAATACATATTTATTGCTCAAAATTAAAAAAGAATGCATACTGCTGTCTACCTGAATCCTTAGAAATTCAGGCAGAAATTGAACAGTTATAGGCTGGTAATAAAAGGGAAAATGCGCTAGCCAAGAATTTAAATCAAATTTCCAGGACTGGCAAGATAGCTCAGCAGACTAAGTGGCTGCGGAGGCAAGAGCAGCGACTGGGGTGCAGTCCCATCCCCAGCACCACAGGCAGCACTGGCCCTGACCCTGGGTGCACTGAGCTGGCCACCGAGACCGGGTGTGGTGGCGGATAGCTGTAATCCCAGAGCTGGGGAGGCTGAAAACAGCAAGATTACTATGAGTCTGAGCTTCGTAGTGAGATCCTGTACCAAATACATTGAAATAAGTGAATAAATAAATAAATAAATAGGCTGGAGATATGCCTCAGTGCAAAAGTTCTGAGACCAATACTACTTTTCGACTTCTCTTCTTCTTCTTCTTCTTCTTCTTCTTCTTCTTCTTCTTCTTCTTCTTCTTCTTCTTCTTCTTCTTCTTCTTCTTCTTCCTCTTCCTTCTCCTCCTCCTCCTTCTCCTCCTCTTCCTCTTCTTTTTTTTTTTGTGTTTGTTTGTTTTGTGGTACCAGAGATTGAACTTGGGACCTTGTGCTTGCCAGGCAGGTGCTTATGCCACCAAGCTATCTCCCCAGCTTAAGTACTTTTAGTAAAAAAATAATTTAAAAAAACTAAGTTGAGAGTAGTGGTGGACACCTGTAGTTCCAGTACTCAAGAGGGTGTGGCAGGAGTACTGCTGTGCGTCTGAGACCAGCCTGAACCAAACAACAAAACCCTGTCTCAAATAAATAAACAAACAAACAAATAAATAAATACTATATAAAAAAATACAGCCATGCTGGGAAGTATATCAGGAAAGCTAACCACCATTTTGATCTATGGATTTATTGATTGTATGTTATGAGATTTGAAAGAAAAGAAAAAAATATACAAGAGTTTAATGATTTTTGAGATTTTTTTTTGCCCTGTGAATAAAAAATACTTTTCCTGTAGAACTGTATTTAGTATTTAACTTTCATTAGTGTTTCCAAAGTAGAGATGTTAGTTGAGAAAAATCAATTGCAGTCTCTATGCCAAACAGCAAACGAAACAGATTCATTTGGTTAACATTGTCTGAGGGATTTGGGGGCCCTCACCTCTGAACTCAGCCACCCCAAGTTCAACATTTTGAAACACATGAACCTTGGGTTTTTGTCCTTCCCATCCCCCTTGAGAGGAGGTGTCACT